CTCTTGACCTCATGATCCACCCACCTTGGCTTCCCAAAGCACTGGGATTACAGGCATGAGCAAGTGTTCTCAGCCGGAATTTCTTTTCTTTAAGAATGTTGAATATAAGCACCCAGTCTTCTGGCTTGTAGGGTTTCAGCTGAGAGGTCTGCTGTTAGTCTGATGGGCTTCCCTCTGGAGATGACCTATCTTTTATCTCTAGCTGCCTTTAACATTTTTTCCTTCATTTCAACCTTGGAGAATCTGCTGATTGTGTGTTTTGGAGATGATCTTCTTGTCAAGTATTTTATGGAGGTTCTCTGGATTTTCTGAATTTGAATGTTGACCTCTCTAGCTAGGTTGGGAAGTTCTCATGGATGATATCCTGAAATAAGTTTTCCAAGTTGCTTCCATTTTTCCCATCTCTTTCAAAGATGTCAGTTGAGTTGTAGATTCAGTCTCTTTATATAATCCCATATTTCATGGAAATTTTTGTTCACACTTTTACATTCGTTTTTCTTTATTCTGATGTGATTGTCTTATTTCAGAAACTCAGTCATCAAGCTCTGAGATTCTTTCCTCAGCTTGGTCTATTCTGCTGTTAATGCTTGCAATTGCTTTATAAAATTCTTGTAGTGTGATCTTCAGCTCTATTGGGTTGGTTACATTCTTTTCTATACTGGCTGTTTTGTTTGTCAGCTCCTGTATCTTTTAACTGTTACTCATAGATTCTTTTGATTGGGTTTCAACATTCTCCTGGATCTCAATGATCCATATTCTGAATTCCATTTCTGTCATTTCTGCCATCTCATTTTGGTTAAGAATCCTTAACCAGATGCTGATCTTTCTTCAGTCTTTGAAGTTGCTGTCTTTTGGATTTTCTTTTACCCTATTTGATGACCTTGGAGGTTTCATTGTGGTGTAAGGTGGGTTCAGTTGACTGGTTTCATTTCCAAAAGATTTTAGGGGGGAAAGGTTCAGCTCAGGACTCCTGATCTATGTGCTGTAACTCTGGGAGACTGGTATCAGCTCCCACTTTGTTCTCTGGCTCTTAGAGATTAGGAGCCTCTTGTGCTAAAAGGGCTGAAGTGTTCCCGGACCGCTGGTTATCACACTCCAAAGGGTGGTGCCAGCAAAGCAGTTCCTAGGAACTAGCAGTGGGATCTATCCTCTTTTGTATGTGGTAGTAGCATCTGCAGCTGCAGCACGGTGGGGTGTACATTCATCTGCTGCGACAGGGTACTAACAGGTGCTGGGTTGCTGGCCTCTGTGCGGGCCTTCGCAGCAGCGGCTAGCATTGACAGCACGGCTGTGGGGGCGGGGCGGGGACAGGATCCAGCTGGAGACTGTGTGCGTGTTCACACTGGTGGTGGCGTTTGCACCCTTTGTGAGCGGTCCCGCTAGCAGCAGTAGCCTCTTAGAGCAGAGGGGGTCCACTTTTCTCTGTGCTTAGTTTCACACCTAGAGGCCGTTTCCACGCACAGCGGTGGGGCATTGGTTGGGGCCGGGCTGGTGGGCTCTCCGCCTGACAACTCTCCAACAACAATGGTGGTTGGAGAAGGGGGCGGGGGGCAAAAATGATCTGGCCTGGTGCACAGAAACACCCGCGCTGGCGGGGGAGGGAAGGCAAGGTCAGCCTGCCAGCACACATGCACCAGCAAAGTGTTGTTGGGGGTGGCCATGGCGACTGTATGTGGGAAAAGCGACCTGGTGACGCTACAGTTTGGGGGAGAGTATAGGCGGCCTAGTACGTGTGAGCTGGGGCTGCTCTACTTGGCATTCTGCTGGTTGGGTGAGACCGCCAGCACCCGAGCTATGATGTGGTCCCCAGGAGATACGTGGGGCTGCACTGTAAGCAGGCGCCGCTATGCTGGGGCCCCGCCCGAGGCCATTAGACTGAGAAATGCTCAGGTCAGACCGGTTCTGTCTCCTGGGAAAACGCCCAGCGGAGTTCAGGTCCTACAGTTCCCCTAGGGCTAAAGTCTCCTATAGGAGTGAGTCAAGCCTAGTGGGATGGGCAACACTGACCATGCTCCACTGCAGATACTCCTGAACCAAACCCTTGACCTTCACTACAGCTGGAGTTCCACCCCTACCACTTCCCTGAACAGTTCTCCTGGCCAATTCAAGTGTCCATGGTGGTCAAGGTTCTTCTCCTGCCAGAATTCCAAAGGCCTGTGGGCAGAGTTGGTTGCTTTTTTCCTGTTCATCTCCCTCCTTCTCCAGTAGTAGTTAGGAATGAGTCCTGGTGTACCTGCGCTGGGCAGCATCTGTGTCTCTCCTCTGTCTGCTCTCAATGCCTTCCCTCTGAAGATCTGCTAGGAGTGCGCCAGTCTTCCTGATGCTCTGTCACTCCACAGGGAATGTTCCTCCTGACTGCATCTAGTTAACCATCTTATCCCCTGTCCTGGTATTTTATTCTTGTTACACTTGAATTGTTTATTTGTTTTTTACTTTTTTCATTGTAAGTTAACTTTTTTTTTCTTGCTGTCTGTCCTGGCTCGTTTGGGCTACTATAACAAAATATCATAAACTAAGTGGCTTATAACAACAGCAAATTATTTCTCACAATTCTAAAAGCTGTGAAGTTCAAGATTGGGTGTTGGTTAGATTCCATGTCTGATGAGGGCCTGCTTCCTGGTTCATAGAAAAGGTGAAGGCGTTCTCTGGGGTCTCTTTTCTAAGGGCACTGATACTATTCATGAGCCCTGCTTTCTAATATGATCACCTTGGGAATTTGGTTTTCAACATTTTAATTTTAGGAGGAACACAAATATCCAGTCCATAACACTGGCCTTTTTAGAGACTTCCTCAGTGATTGCTCCAATTTCTGTGATATGAAGACAGCAGCATATGCTGCTGTGTAAGATTAGGCTGACTCTCCTCAGAGGTCTTGTCAGTCTTTCTCCTCTTAAATTCTGGAAGATTTGACAGGCATTAATTGCCAGACATTCATCCCAAGCTTTGCTCCAAAATCCATAAAAACATGCAATTTTTCCTCAAGAAACTAGATTTTACAAACATGAATGTATAAACCACTGATAGGGATGAATGTGGTAGCCTTTTTTTCCTCACTCTTGGTTTATTTCCTTTGTTGATTTTTATAAAGGATTCATTATCTTGGTAGTCTCCTTAGAGACATTCACTGACATCTCTCTGTCATCACCTTAAAAAGACAAAACGTATTGCCCACCAAAGTCAAGGAAAGTTGACCCTCCCATAGGATGTATATTAATGGACGTGTTCACTGTGACAGCTCTGCTCTTCTTCAATCACCTTCTGATCCAGCCCCGTCTATTCTTAGGAAGTTCCCTCTTTACTCCTTCGCCCTTGCAACACAGAGGTAAGGGAGTTTTCTTCAGTTCTTCAAACAATCATGTTCTGATCATGTTCTGGTCACTGAACGTTATGTCTTCTAAAGTTCTGTACTCATCCCCTACTATCACAGAAATTCCCAGAATAGGAGCCCTCATTTAGTTACAGTTACATTGTGACCCCATTCCCTGACTTTGACCACTTCCAGAAAATTCTGTCCTTATCATCACACTCTCCCAGAAACACCAAAGAGACAGGGGTCATTTCGGTACTTCAAAAAACCATATTCTGAACCAAGCATAGACACTTACTTCTTCCAGAAAGTCTGTCCTTGTTCCTCATCCTCCCCCAAAAACCCCAGTGATGAGGCTTCAGCTTTCTTTCAGCTAATCATGTTCTGATCTCACACCCCCACCTCTAGCTTTTTTGGCTGGATGAGGGAGATTGAGACTACTTTGGGGAATCCGCAATTGGTAGTTGCTAGCAGGCACCATACTGATTTTCAAAGGAACTGAACGATCATTCATGGACTCCACCCAGTCAGCTAGTCTTTACGAAGTGCCTGATTTCACCACTGTGCATTTTCAGATCACTCTATATCATCCTCTTCTTATAGACAGGTGAAAGATAACTCCAGCTCCAAAATTATCTAAGGCACAGATTTTCCCTTAAATGTGGTTCTCAGTTGAATATGCAGGAATTCTGATGACTAAATAGTGTAAACTTCAAATAAAGTGATTTTTGCATAAGTTGTTTGTTTTTCCATTTACACTCACTGGCTATCAGTACATACTGTAAAAATTTCCAAATAATTCTTTGTGGAGGCAATGTGGTGAGAAGATAAGCACCCTGAAGTGAGAACTGAGGTCATGGCTCTGGTCACAGCTCTTTCACTAATTGGCTGTCTGACCTTAGGAAAACCGCTTTCCTAACAACTCCTCACTTTTGAAACCAAGTTTGCACTAAAAAAGTGATTTTCATTTTTTTTCACTGTGATCTAGTTAGAAATGTATCTTAAAAGTGGCAATATTTACTACATAGAACACATTAAGTTCTCAAAAACAATTCTTAACACTACTCAAGGGTGACAGGATGAGTTTTGTTCTACCTTTAAAAATTGCTTGTTGTAAGCCACAGAACTGATTTCAAGAGCCATAGTGGCAATCCTAACTTTGAACAACACTGGAGGATCTTTTTAAATCCCTCAATATTCTAAAAATTAAAGTGTCTGTATTTGAGATATAGAAAAACAATGTATTGAAAAACAGCCACATTCTTGCTGAGTCTCTTTTACCTTCCTCAGCTTGTCATCAAGTTACAAAAGTCAAATATTCTGCATCTCCCGATGATAAAGTCCAATAGAAAATGACCCAGGCTGGATTCTCCTACTGCAAGATATATAGCAGGGCTTATCCCTGGGTGCTTAACATCTCTAAGCCCCAGCGCCCTCATCTGTAAAAGTGGTAAAACAATACAGACTTTATAGATTGTGTTAAGGATAAAATGAGATCCTGGATGTGAAACTACTGACAGAGGTGATAAATTGTGAATTCCTCAGACTAAATGTGATCTTCAGGCATGCTTTGTTCTGCACAATGAATACTCTCCAGTTTGCTACTGTCCCTACCACTCCCATAATCATTAGTCTATTGTAAAGTCTCATACTTTTCTTTTTTAATTACTTAACTGCCAAAGTCAGGTAAAGATTCATCTTGATATTGTTTCTTTATTTTTTATGCTTATGACACATTATACACACATACATATGTATATAGGTACATACACACACATCAACGGCACTGATTTTGGTACACATCAGAATTACTTAGAGAGTTTGTTAAAAATGGAGATTCCGGAGCCCACTCTGAGTTAGGACAGTAGGTCCCACATTCTCAAATGCCCCCTGCCCCCAAGATGTTTTTGTACAGATGGTAGACTCACTCTGAAAACAGTAGAACATACATTCTTAAAATTCAGACATTGAATTATGGGTATGATCATTCTTTCTTGGTCAGGGACAAGAAAATATTCTCAAGAGAAGTGAGACTTTGAGTCCAGGTAGAGGAAAAATAATATTTACAAAAAATAGCAACTGGAATGAAAGAGCAAGATGATGGAATACAGACTGCTTTTTAAACTGCTTTATGCATTTCATATTATGAAGAGAATATTTTTCCTAAAATGAGTGAAGCTGCCATGCTAACAGTAACTTTTAGGCTGAGACAAAACAATATTCAATTAGAATTCTAATTTCCATTAGAAACTGGTAAGTGGAAACACCAAAAGGCTTACAGAAAAAGTAAATCACAAAAATACAAGCTTGTAAAGCAGTGTTCACATTTTTAACCTCAGGAAAAACTTTAGGATTCAAGGTATGAGGCAAAAGTCATAATGGTTGTCAGGTTCAGGAGTTTGGAAGCGCATATAGTGCCTTATCTGCTGTTCCCTAGTCTTTCTCTTGATTTCCATCATCTGCCCTACAAACCTTTCTACATCATCTCTTGCTTCATTGTGCTCACTATGCCTATTAGGTATGGCCCATCGAAAATTAGGGACAAGTCGCCTAACTCGCCCCCGTCTGATATTTCCTCCAGGCTTCTGCCCTTCACCCTCTCCCAAATGGCGGGATTCTTCTTCATTCTGCTTGGGGACCTGCTCCCCTCCTTCGTTTTCTTGTTGGGGATTTTTCCCGTCGAGATTGTTTACCGCTAGTTCCTCTTTAGACTCCATTACTCCTAGGAGACAAGAGAGAGAAAATGGGCTGACTTCTTGGTGGACTGATAAGCACTGAGGACGGAGGCCCTCACCTTCCAAAATTCAGAGCCCTGGACTTGACTTTGTACTCTTTAACATTTCATTTTTCCATCTGAGAAGCCCCGTGTACCTTGTGGGGTGTCCCCAGTCAAAGCCCCTCCCTCCGGCAAAGCCCACCATCTTCCCTGTAGATCCATCTCCAGGCTTCTGCAGGCAGCAAAATGGAGGACGAGGATGGGGTGTGGGAAGGGGAGGGTTGCGTTAAGCTGAAGCGGGGAGAGGGTGAAGGCATGGATTGGGATCTCAGACTGGGCTTTCCTCACGTTCCGACCCCCGCCCCGCCGCCGTCCCTTGCACCGACCTGGGCCTATCCTTGCGGTCTCCTCCTCCTCCCGATTCTCGTCGCGAGGTGCGCCGCCGCGACACTTAGGCCTGCAGACCCGCAGAAGGGCAGGGTTGGGGGAATAGGGGCTGCTGCAGCGGAACGCTAGAGAGGACCCGCCGCCACCGAGCCCTTTCCCCGTCCCGAGCCCGGGCCCTCCTCGCCGCCCTCGCCCCCCGCTTCAGCCGCCCCGCCCCCCAAGCTGACCACCATTTTCTGCACCAAGAAGGGCGGGGCAGGTGTGTCGGAAAAGCTTGCGCAGGTGGCGGAGGCAGGTGTTTCAGAAGGGTCGTAGCCTCAGGACCGCCGGCTCCCGCGGGGCCGGGCACCTCTCGGCTCACGGAAGGCGGTGGGGCCCGGGGTCTGCTTCATAGTGGACCGGCTGCGTCACCGCGCGGCTACCCGGGGGTGGGTCATCCTCAGGCCGGGGCCGCTCCCCAACACCAACCCCAGGGATCCCCTCCAGGTCCCTTACCTGCTTCCCCTCCGCTTCCTACCTTCGGGGCCGCCCCTGGCCCGCACGTCCTCAGGGCCACCTGGAGCAGGTACCGCTGCGGAGAACCGAGCGAGCGACGGCGGCTCTGACGCCAGAGCGAGACCGGACACACTTGGCAGGTCACGTGGGGCGGTTGTCATCGCCAGCGGCTCCGCCCCCGTCCCACGCCCCCTCCTGCAGCCCCGAGTCAGGCGGGGCTTTCGGGCCAGCCCCGGAGTCTCTTAATGTCTCCCGCCTGGCCGGCCCTTCCACTCTCCTGTGTTTGTGTATTCTTGGGACTTCCTCTGCCTGCCCAAGAAGAAAGATGCCGTCTCAGGGAACTGTTGGCCATTCTCACTTCTGCGGAGACTTGCCTCTCCCTGTTCTCGGATCCCAGGATTCTCCTCACCTCCCGCTACCAGGACTCGGGCACAGAATTTAAAGGGATGCAAAATTCCTCAGTAGTCAAGAAAAGTAGCATTTTAATGCAACATTTTTAAAAAACAAAATTATTCCAAGAAAATGTATGATGAGCAAGATGTCATAATATTAAACAAAGAGAGTATCTGTCCTACCCACCCCAATGCCAAACCGTGGTCCTTGTTATCAGTGCTCACCTTTTTCTCTGCACCAGAACGTTTGTGGGGAACAGAAAATGAGTCAAGCACAATGGATTTTTTCTAATTCTTCTTAATACCTTTCTGTTCTGTTCCTTTTTTGTTTTTAAGAAACACACTCTTTATAGTTTACGCTAACTTTATCTTAACTTTAATGAAAAATTTCGAACATATGGAAAAATCGAATAGCATAATGAAAACCCATGGACTAGTATTCACCCAGATTCCACAGTTAACAACTTATGGCCAATCTTATTTCATCTTTATCATACCTGCTTCCCAACCTTAAAAATAATATTTAAAGCAAATTCTAGACATAATATCACTTTAGGCATAAATATTTTAAATTACATATCTACAAGATAAGGGTTCTTTTCTTTTTAGCATATAACCACAATACTGGTGTCACATCTAATAATTCACAATTCCTTAATATCATTTTATGTCTAATCTGTGTTCAAATACCCAATTGTATCATAGTTTTTTTTAACAGTTTGTTTGAATCAAGATCCAAATAAGACCCACGCATTTTGATCTGTTGCCATATTTCCTAAATTCTTTTTTTAATTTCATTTTCATTTTTTTTATTGATGATATCATCATTTTTCCTGTATTTTCCTACAGTCTGGATCTTAGTGGTGTCATCATTAACACATACCTCTTTACTCTGTAGTTCTTATAAAATGTTAACTAATTCTCGAAAAGCTTGCTTGAATTTGGGTTCAATTTCAATTCAGATTTTTCCAAGAGAAAGCAAATACTGTTTCTGTTTTCCTCTCTTTGGGATTTTAGGTGAAATATTTCTACAAAGAGAACCTTCTTATTTTAGATCAGGGTCCCTAGAAGCAGAAGCTGGAACAGAGATCCTTATGAATGTAATTTCTTGTAATAATGGTCTCTCAGGTTAAAGGAAGTAAAGGAAGCAGGACAGGGCTGAGGAGTGGGACAGTGGGAAGAATGGGGTTTAACTAGAGATTAGGTTTAGTTCATCGCACCTGAAATCTAGGAAGAACAGACAAGTTATCCCACCTTGACAGTAAGTCACTGGCTTTTTGTATCTCAGTGTCAGTCATAGATCAGCGTCTATAGGTGGAACAGAGCATAGTCTCTGGAGCGAGGCGGTTCCCATTTGGCAGGTAACAATTCTCTGGGGAAGGGGTAAAATGTGAGTTGTATGGCCTGTAATCCCAGCACTTTGGGAGGCCAAGGTGGGAGGATTGCTTGAGCCCAAGAGTTTGAGACCAGCCTGAACAACATAGGGAGAACCCCATCTCCATGCACACACACACACACACACACACAAATATAGCTGGGTGTGGTGGAACACACCTGTGGTTCCACCTACTTCAGAAGCTAAGGTGGGAGGATTGCTTGAGCCCAGAAGGTTGAGGCTGCAGTGAGCTATGATTGCACCGCTGCACTCCAGGCTGGACAACAGAGTGAGACCTTGTACCCCCACTTCCCCCCAGAAAAGATGTAAGTTGTTATCAGCCAACACACACAGCCAGGGATGGCTTCATAGGTATATGACTGGTGCTGTTGCACAGGGCCCTGATGTCAGAAGAGTCCTATTCCTGGTTTAATGCTCTGCTGTCTTTGTGTTGAAATTCTTAATGATTTTATTTCTGAATATTGTCAGGCATAGGTGTGTCTACAGGTTATCTAAACTGTGTTCAGGAACAAGTCCAGTTGGCTCCAACTTCTGTGTCTCCTTCCTTCTCCCCTGGGTGCTTCCACGTTTACTGCGTACTGCTGTCCTTTCTACTGGCCTTTTCCCCTCTGCTGACCTAATGTGCCAAAGCCCCATTGGTTTATCTGGGATTTTTGTTGAGGCAGAAACTCACTCTGTCCCTAACAAAGTGGATAAAGGCTAGGTGTGGTGGCTCACACCTGTAGTCCCAGCACTTTGGGAGGCTGAGGCAAGTCTCTCTGAAAATAAATAAATAAATAAATAAAAGATGTGCATAAAGCATTCTTTACTTTATAACTACATGTACTGTGAGATACACATATTCATCTGTGGTTTTTGGCTCACAATTCCCATAGCCATGGTTATTCCCTAAGTGACTAAAACAATAAGTGTATCTTTTATTAAAGTATTTGGCTTTTTGTTTCAGAACAGCATCAGAATTATAAACATAAAAGACTGTCTTTCCTTATATGTTGGGGCACTTTCAGGCCTCAGAAGCAGGCCTCAGGAAACAGAATTTTTCTTTCTGACCTGCTTTTGCTCTCCTTTTACCTACTTCTTTTCCTCTCTAAGCCAGGCCACAGAAACTAAAAATATACTCTAGTTTTCCCCTGCCTTTCTGTCTTGGAGATGGCCATAAGTAAATTCTCAGATTGACCTTGTCTGAGTGTAGGTCATAATGATGCAGGAATGGGAAGCCCCCAGTCTGGGGGCTTAGCCTGGGAGGTTTCTTGGTTTTACCCCGAAAGTAAATCAAGGGTGAGCTAGTGGTGTTAGGCAACACTCTGTTTTTGAACAGTACTGCTCTTTGTGGAGCAGGGCTAAATCAGAGGCAGTGCACCCAGAGTCAGCAACATATGGGCTCTTGGCAACTGTATTTATACTCACTTAGTCTCAGTTTCAGTTACACACAAATTAGGGAGTGGGTTAATGCAAATTGAGGAGTAGGTTATTTAGAACTTTCTGGGAAAGGAGCAGTCACTTCTGGGCCATTGCCATGGCATTTTGTAAACTGTTGTGGCGCTGGTGTGAGTGTCTTATACTAATGTGCAACGAGAGTGGCTAGCAATCACTTTTGTCGCCATCTGCTGGTTCTTGACAGTTTCTTAACTTTAATCTGTCAGGACCGGGGAAATAAATCATGTGGGTCTCCTACCTCTATAAGACCCCAATTCAGAAGGGGTCCTGCCCCATACCCAGGATGAAGAAATGCTGCACAGAGAAGCCAAGAAGACTCTGAATAGTCAGGCCTTGCTGGGTTTCCCTACTCAGTCTAATAGTGTTAGATCGTACCCTTTCTGTCCAATCACATTACATTTCTACATGATTGTCCATGGTCATACTGCCTATCTAATGACATTGTCATAAAAGGCCGAAGGGGATGGGACATAGAGAGCTTCTGGACAGTTGACCACATGCGAAAGCCCATCTTTACCAAAAAATATAAAAATTAGCCAGGCATGGTGGTGCACGCCTGGAGTCCCAGCTATTGGGGAGGTTGAGGCAAAGAATCGCTTGAACCCAGGAGGCAGAGGTTGCAATGAGCCAAGATCACTCCACTGCACTCCAGTCTGGGCAACACAGTGAGACTCCATCTCAAAATAAATAAATAAATAAATAAATGAAAAAATACACGAAGAAAAACCTAATAGACATGAAAATAGGAATAGATGAATCCACTGGTATAGCTGAAAATTTTAAAAGCCGTCTATTAGTAATAGACAGATGCAGCAGGGAGAAAATCAGTATGGACATGGTTGAACTCAACGGCAACATCAATCGCTGGACCTAATTGGCATTGTAGAATACTTCACCCAACAACAGTAGAATATGCATTCTACTCAAGCTCACATGGAATATTTACAAATATGACCATATTCTAGGTTCTAAAACATAATATAACAAATTTAAAAGAATAGAAAGCATCCAGGCTACGCTGTCAGACTTCAGTGGAATTAAACTAGAAATTAACACAGAATGATAGCTGAAAAACCCCAATATACTCGGAGATTAAACAACATATTTCTAAGTAACACACAAGTCAAAGAAGTCTCAAGACAAATTTTAAGATATTTGGATAAATTAATATGAATAAAACTTACTGAAATTTGCAGAATGCAATAAAAGCAATGCCTAGAAGGAAATTTGTAGCATTGAACATATATATTAGAATACAGGAAAGATCTAAAGTCAATAATCTATGCTTCCACACTAAAAAAATGGGAGTAAATTGAGCCAAAACAAAGTGAGCAAAAGAAAAGAAACAATAAAAACTAGAGCAGAAATTAATGAAATTGGAAATAGAAAATCAATGAAGAATTTTCAGCAAAGAAACCAAAATCAAATCCAACATTGTATAAAAAGAATCACATACTTTGACCAGATGGGATTTATTCAAGTTGTGTAAGACTGGTTCAACATTTGAAAATCGATTAATGTAATTCATCACATCAACAAGCCAAAGAAGAAAAGTCATATAATCTTATCAATAGATGCAGAAAAAGCATGTGACAAAAATCTAACACCCTCTAATAATAAAAACTCATAAAACTATTAACTTAGGGGAATTCCACAATTTGATAAAGAACATGTACCCAAAAACCTGTAGGATTATACTTAATGAGGAGAGACTAGCTACTTTTCTTCTAAGATCAAGTCAAAGATCAAGGAACAAGGCAAAGATGCCCCCTCTTGTTTCTCCTATTCAGTGCCATACTGGAAGTCCTTAGGAGCCAATGCAATAAGACAAAACAGGAAATGCAGATACGCAAATTGGAAAGGAAGAAATAAAGCTGTCGTTTTTCACAGATGATGTGATTATCTATGTAGACAATTCCAAAGAATCAACA